ACAAAATACATTAGAGATAGTCCACACATGGTTTGTTTGTTCATTCATTCATTCAAGGCCATACTTTTTCTTCATTAGAAGCACAAAGTCACAGATGTTGAAGGGGTCAGGCAGGGAGTTAGAAAGGCTCTCATTTTGCAAGCATCTCTTAGCCCATCCCATTATCTTGGAGCACTCAGCCTCAACGCTGAAGTTCCCAATGCTCTCGTAGCTGTAAAACCAGGTGTAGTATCCAATCAAAACAATGTCCACAAACCCCACACTCTCGCCTCCAAAGTAAGCCTTCTCCCCAAGAACTTCCTCCAGCTTCTTCAAGCTTCCCATGAACTCCTTCTTCCCTTCTTCACGCTCTTCTCCCTTGCTCGCCCAGATCTTCCTCCCACTCTCAAACACCTGCATTTTTGTTTATCAATGTCAAACACCATGAACAAAGAACTAAACTTTCATTAATTCACCCGAACCTTCTTGTCGATGAAATCCACCCAAAACCTGGCCTGAGCCCTCTCGTAAGGATCAGACGGTAACAGAGGAGCTCTGTTCTTCCACGTTTCATCGATGTACTGAACTATAATGGATGATTCGCAGATGGGTTTTCCGTTATGAACAAGAACAGGGATCTTCTTGTGAATTGGGTTCATTTCCAGAAGCAGAGGGCTCTTGTTTCTTAGATCTTGTTCCACGTATTCGTACGCCACGCCCTTCATGGCCAGGGCTACTTTGACTCGCATCCCGAACATGCTGGGCCAGAAATCCAAGAGCTTCACTTCCTCTGCCATTGTTGCCAAATGGGGAAGAAGAAACTCAAAGGGAGAGCGCCGCTTTAGGGCTATGAGTTTTGAGGGATTGAGAGCGAGTTTGAGAGTGGACCCATTTGGTAGAAAGTGGGACAAAATGGAATAGTGGAGAGAGAAGAGAAAGGACAAAAGGGGAAAGGATGCGGTGAAAACAGTCCATTTTCTGCAACTTCCAATGCTATGGACCATTCAACATGGTGTGGACACATGTTTTGTGGAAGGATCACGTGGGAGTCTGGGTCTAGGGTTCATTGTGTAGATTAGTGATTTCTAACCAGGGTTAGTTCATCAAGTTCTTGAGGCTGGAAAGAAACGGAATCTTACCTTTTTGAATCCAACTCATTCAAGAATCTATTAAAAATAGAAATTATAGATTAATTAAACTTTTTAGTGCTAACCATAAGGTTGGCCATGCCATTTATTCAATGACTCACTACACTGCATCAAAGTGGGAGAAGATATCAAAACCCCAACCACAAACACTAAAAATTTCATCCATTTTGATCCACACCAGTCCTTCCTGACTGAAGCAGTTTGGTTAGTCAAGGCCAAGCGCTTTCCTGTCTTTAAGCAAGAAGTGATAGACTTTGATGGGGTCAGGCAGGGAGCTTGAAACGCTCTCCTTTTGCAGGCATCTCTTCACCCAAACCATGATCTTGGGACACTCAGCTTCAATGCTGAAATTCCCAATGGTTTCGTAGCTATAAAACCAAGATGAGAATCCAATCAAGGCAATGTCTACGAACCCCAAACACTCTCCTCCAAAGTAGGCCCTCTCCCCAAGAGCTTCTTCCAGTTGCTTCAAAATTGCTATCACCTCCTTCTTGCCTGTCTCCTGCTCTTCTCCCTTGCTCATGTATATCTTCCTTGTTCAACGTAAAGCTGCACATTTTGATAATACATTCATTGCTTAGGAATATCAATGAAAACATTAAGGCCTATCAGGTAAAGGGTTTTGAGCATGCCACCTTCTTGTCGATGAAATCCACCCAGAACCTGGCTTCAGCCCTCTCGTAAGGATCAGACGGCAGCAGAGGACCTCTGTCCTTCCATACTTCATCAATGTACTGAATGATAATGGAAGATTCACTGATGGGTTTTCCATTATGAACAAAAACAGGTACCTTTTTGTGAACTGGATTCATCTCCAGAAGCAAAGGGGTCATGTTTTTCAAATCTTGTTCCACATATTCGTAGGCCACGCCCTTCTCAGCCAGAGCCATTCTAACACGCATCCCGAACATGCTGGGCCAAAAATCCAACACTTTCACCTCCTCCGCCATTGTTGCTAGTTGGGAACCCCAAACTCAAATGGAAATGGAGAAGAGATTGAGCTTTGAGCCAACAACCAAACTACATCTTATTTATATACATAAATTTTTTAAACCTTACTTCATTTTCTCAAAAATCACTAGCACTTTTCATCTTTAATCCATGCCATTTATTTACGACACGAGATCATATCATATGCATTAGTCTCATTCAACTTATGTAACTTTAATACACGTATATATCAACACACTAAGATATATTTTAGCCCATTTTATCCAATCGACCAAAATACATATTTTTACTTTTTTGTTGTTGATATTGTTTGCTTCGGCTAATTACAAATCGCCATCAACCTAGTTTTAAAACGTGTCTGCTAGGAAAAGGTTTCTACACCCTTATATATGAAATGTTTCGTTTCCCTCTTCAATCAAAGTGGGATCTCACATTTCTAGACAAAAACAAAATAAGATAAAACATTTTAAAATTAAAAGCTCATAAATTAGGATTATATTGACATAGAAACATGATGTTAGTCACCAGCAATATATGGACAACTTAGTACGACTAGCATTTATTGATGTGGTCCCATATGCATTTGCATATATCATATATTCTCTCTTACCAACCTCGAGTTACCTTATAAGATCCGTGAACTAGAGTGTCTAACCAGTTTCATAAATTTTCAATTTTGTGCTTAGATATGATTCTTGAACGTTTAATTTTCCTGTCCATGAACTTTACAGCTGGTAACTTGAGTCACTTGAGAAGCATATCATTGAGTCAACAAACTACGATTTAGTTATTCAAGATAGAAAACAAGAAAACCCGAAACTTAAACACTAGAAATTAGATCGATTATCCACACAAATCCGTCGCAACTTATTCAAGACCGAGACTAGAACAACAAGGAACAGATGAAAAGGGGTGCAGAGTTTTGGTTAGTCAAGGCCAAGCCCTCTCCTAACTTGAAGCACAAAGTGATAGACTTTGATGGGGTCAGGCAGGGACTTTGAAACACTCTCCTTTTACAAGCACCTCTTAACCCAACCCATTATCTTGGGACACTCTGCCTCGATACTGAAATTCCCAATGGTTTCATAGCTATAAAACCAAGTTGAGAATCCAATCAAGCCAATGTCTATGAATCCCAAACGCTCTCCTCCAAAGAAAGCCTTCTCCCCAAGAACTTCTTCTAGTTGCTTTAAAATTGCTATCATCTCCTTCTTGCCTGCCTCCTGCTGCTCTCCCTTGTTCATCCATATCTTCCTCGTTTCAACGTAAAGCTGCACATTTTCATAGTTCTTTCATTGCTTAGGAACATCATTAAGGCCTATCAGGTAAAGGGTTGTTAGAATGTCACCTTCTTGTCGATGAAATCCACCCAAAACCTGGCTTGAGCCCTCTCGTATGGATCAGACGGTAACAGAGGAGCTCTGTCCTTCCAGGTTTGATCGATGTACTGAACGATAATGGAAGATTCGGAGATGGGTTTTCCAATATGAACAAGAACAGGGATTTTCTTGTGAATTGGGTTCATCTGCACAAGCAAAGGGCTCTTGTTTCTCAGATCTTCTTCCACGTATTCGTACGCCACGCACCCTTTAAAAATGCACAAATTGTTTAGTAGGCTAAATTTAGAAAAAGAAATAGAGTATTCTTGCGTATGTTTATTTTTACAAGGAAAAAAAAGCAAGAAATCGAAATCATTGAGAAAAAGACCAGCTAATTATGACCCATGACCTAGTTGGAGATGGTACAACCAATCTATTACTCTATTTCGCTAGCAAGTAGTGATCAACTTACTTGTGTTCAATCTGTGGTTCAACCAAAGCTCTAGTTAACTTGTCCATTTCCGAGAGTCAAAATAATTTGTCATTAATTATGAGTATGGTTTGAAACAAGTCCTATTCAATATTAACTTGACGTATTCAAGCGTACGTACAGAACTAAAATATGTTGGTGTATAGCATCTATTAGTATGGTCCTCTATAGGTCCTTGAATGATGCTAAAACTCTTACCAACCTCAAGTATCTTATCATCTTTGATTGGTCATAGTCAATCCATCCATTATTTTACTTGAAAGATCTATTTTCAATTGATCAACATCAATTTGCGATTTTTTTCCTAATTTCAAATAAATTTAAGAATTACCCTCTATAAATTATACTTTTGAATCATATCAAGATAACTTTTACCTAAAAAAAGAAAAAAAAAACAAATTTATTTTGGACCTTAAACTTGAATTCATCTCTCTTTGAGAGCCCAACGCCATTACTAGCACCTCACTGTCTGGCTTTGATACGATTTTTCCTATAAAAAAAAAAAAAAAAAATCCTAAAAATTTTCAAATATATCAAAATGGAAAGTTGTCCATTGTTGTTAAATATTTTGAAATTCAATCAATTTATTAAGATATATATTATAATGAATCTTCCATCCATGTCCTAATCAAACGTGGGTCCCACGGAAATAATGATGACGTCACTGCTTATCCGTAATAAATTTAATGCTTAAACGAGGGAGGAAAGATCTTCGGGGTGTTGGAGCGACTACTTTTGCAATAAATTCCACAAATATTTTTTTCACAATTTACATAAAAATGTTGGAGATAGCAAAATAATTTTGTGACAAATTATCAAACCATAGCCATTTATGACACTTTAGCGAATCACCAAAACTAAAATCTAACCTTCAAAATTATAGGAACTATCCATAAGCAATATTGTGTTCGTTTGGTTATCACGAGCTCTCAGATGATTTTTTTAAAAATAAACGGTTCACATACATATATAAATACAATGAACAAATACATATACATACCTACTCAGACAAGATATTATAGAGTAATATGGAGAAAAGAATAAGAAGCATCAACCTCCTTGTATCCAATAATATCTTCAAGGCACGTCAAGTTCAGACTTGCAAAATATTGAGTTTGCCACAGAACTCTGCATTAGCTCCACTATGGATGTATAAAAATTCATAGTAAAGTGAGAAGGCATTAAAAAAACCGAAAGAGATACATGGCAGTCAAACTGAAAATTAACAAATACTATCAAACCCTTTCTAAGCAGTGCCGCTCCAAATATTTCCAACTGTAGGGGGTGCAGCAGCAAGGGCAAACGGTGTCATTCTATCGCGCTGAGTCAGGTACAAGAATCAAATGTGGGGTGAAATAGATTGCTCAAAAACAGACTTACATGGTAAAATAAATGCTATCTCAATGAAACCATAGATATGTATTTCTCCCGCAGTCTGCCTATACTTTTTTTTTTTTTTTTTAATGATTGTAACCAAAACTCCTACCAAAAAGGATATTATACAAAATCGAATAGAATTCCTGAACTTTCTTCTCTGCCATGACTGCTGCCAGTTGTGCAGCCTCGCGGCATAAAGAAATTTCAATCATGCGCATTGGTGATCCCAGTTCTTCACAAGATTAATGGTAAATCCGTGGCAGGGGATTGAGGGCATTAAAGGACTAATTCCCAGCGATGCTAATGCTTGCTTGAACTGGACATATTCTTCTTATATCACCCCCAGGACATTCCATTCCCATCAAAGGGGCCAGTTACAACAGAATGAATTTTGTTATATAGATTGTGACGGCATCTCTTAGTATATATGGATCTACATCAAGAACCGGCATAAGGTTTGTTTCTCAGCACAGCTACCGCATTCAAAGAGAAGAGACCCTTCCAGGTTACTTTTCTTGACTAAATACTTGAAGCTTTTTTATAAGGTCCTCTTTTAGAGCTTCTGGTATCCGTGAAATAAACTTTTGCTTGGCATCTGCAATCAGCAATTTCCTGCATTGCATGTGAGTTCACGTGTAAATTACAATATATAAAGACGGGGAATTAAGAAAAGCTCCATGGTTGCATGTGAGTTCACGTGTAAATTACAATATATAAAGACGGGGAATTAAGAAAAGCTCCATGGTGAGTGGCTTTCATGCATATGATTGAAGTAAATGCAAAAAGAATAAAACACCCACCAAGAAGTTTGTGTTGAAGTTCCAACCATTCTATTATACCCAAAATACCAAGTCGAGGAGAGTATGTTCATTTAGGTTCTGGAAATAAAAAAAAATAAAATAAAATCTTCGAGCACTCTCATGATAATGGCTCTAAGAAAGTTCCAACATTTTTTAAAATTTTTTTGAGGTAAAACCATTCTATCTTGGAGTTTGTTGGAGCTCAGGTGTTGTATCGTCCTTCCCGCCTCTTCTTCAGTGAAAGCAACCTCAATGGAGGCAGCTTGTTGTTGATCAATAGGACTCCAGTCAAGTTCACGATGAAATTCAAAGAGGGCATCGTCTTTTTGTATACAAGGACATGTAAAAAGACACAATTTTTGAGATAATTTCATCTTTGTTTTCTAAACTTCTGCCTTGTGTCGATAGATTTCTATAATGGTACTCTTTCCTTTCTTTGTAGCCATGATATGATGGAAAATTTTGGAGTTTATGTCACCTTCCTCTAGCCATCGTCTTTAATGTTTGTCTCCAAAATTGTTCTTACTTACCAAGTTCAGCTTTCATGAGCTATTGTGTGTGTGTTGAACTAATAGAGCCAGTTTCCTCCATCGGATCAAAAAGATCAATTTCAGTAAGTAGTTGGTTTCACAACCGAGAACCTCCTTGTTCCATTTCTTTAAGACTTCTTTTAGTCTTATAAATTTTGTTGATGAAACCATGCCCCGTGCATCCACGAAGGGGCATATTCTTCCACCAATATTCCACCATAGTAAAAAATTCAGAATGGTTCAGCCACATTCTCAAAGCGGAAAGGTAAGGGGCCCCATTAGCAACCCATGGAAAGTAGAATGGGATAATGATCATGTAGATCTATTCCGTCTTTGCACACAAATGTTACTAAACTTTCCAAGTAGGCTTTCTGTTGCTAGAAATCTATGGATGAGTGTAAAGAGGGTGGAGATCTATTGTTTAACCAAGTATAGAGACCATTACCGAGGGGAAGGTCAATGAACTCAACTTCTATTATGAAATTGTTTTAGTGTCTCGTGTCTCTGGCAACTTTTCCATTGGACTTTTCATGTCCCCACCGAGAGAGATTGAAATCACCAACAAAAAGCCAATTCTGTGTACAGCAATATAGGTATGGTAAATCCTGCCAAAAGATAGGTTTTTCTTGATATCTATAAGGGTCAAAGATCCCTATTTAGCAGGTTTTTCTTGATATATATAAGGGTCAAAGTTCCCTATTATCCAAAAACTGTAACTATCAGCCAATGTAATATGTGTGGTTAAGGTGTATAGGTCTCTTTGGTGATTTCGAAAATGATCAGAGTTATAGGTCATTCCACATAATTAAGATCCCCCCCCCCCCCCCCCCCCCCCCCCCCCCCCCCCCCCCCCCCCCCCCCCCCCCCCCCCCCCCCCCCCCCCCCCCCCCCCCCCCCCCCCCCCCCCCCCCCCCCCCCCCCCCCCCCCCCCCCCCCCCCCCCCCCCCCCCCCCCCCCCTCCCCCTCAATGTTCCTGAGGCATCCAAAGTTGACCAACCGATAAGTCCAGCACTCCAAAGGGATTTAACCGTCCAATGATCAACAAAATTCAATTTTGTTTCTGGAAGAATTACCATAGTTTTTTATGAGAGCTCTCCTTTGCGAATCTCCCAAGTCTTTAACATTCCAAAAGATATTAGCCACCCAATTGTGACTTACTCGATTTCTCATAATTGATGTATAAAGGAGGCCAACAATCTCTCTAGTCAGTTTACTCTATTTCTTGGCGGTAGTGGGCTTCTTTTTCACAGACAGAATAACCATGATGCACATGTGGTGTTCTTTAAGCCATGGTGCCAAGATTTGGAGGACCATTGCTGGTGTGGGTGTCGTTGATATCAAGGTGACCTCTTCTACCTTTGTTTCATTCTGCTTTTTCCGAAAAAGAGTGTCAAGCTCTATGTCTGCAAGGATAATCTCTGGCAATGGGAGAGAGAGCATGGGCATATGCGCTGTAGGGGATGGTGTGGCTGTTGAGAGGGATTGAGGGCTAGATGCATATCATCATCAATTCTTTTTGGTGAGAGCCGACAGTGGAGAACTTTGTTCCTAGGATGAGGAAGGTTCTTTGGTTCTTTATGATGATAGCATGTTCTTATAGTGGAGTTGTCACAACTTGTGGGTTAGGGATAAGAAGTGATATAATATATGGGGTTAGGAGATTGGTGAAATGAGGGGTGATAGATGGGGTTTTGGAGATTGGTGAAATGCGGGGTGAGGGGCTGTTGGCCCCTGGTTTATGTGGGGAAACTATGAGTTTATGGGGCATGGCCCATGGGGAGGGTGCGGGAGTTGGGTTTGATTGGGGGTTGACCTCTTTTTGTAGGAGTTGGCTTTGAAAGTAGGGGTAATACATGGTAGATGGGAGTGGTCTTGACCTTTTTAGGGCTTTGTGGTATGGCAACAGTCTGTCATGTGTAAATTTAGTGTTGAGTCATATTGTAATTGAGAAGCCCCTTTGGGTAATGTTTCTCAGTGGTTTGACCAATGGTATGGTCCAAGAATGCCTCCTGAAATATCTGTAATAACTTCATCATCCTCTACGGTACATTTCCTTGACGTGCTTGTTCGGACCCTTGGAAACCAGTCATAACAACAACAAATAATTCTCCATTGAAGCAAGGGTCTATATTGAGACTTCTGCTAGTATGGAACCCCATGAGTTTTTCTTAATACAAATGGTGGCTTCGATCAGGTCCACACACATGCGATGAAGTTTTTTTAACGATCTCAATAAAACCTTCATAGGCATCTCTTATGTGTTTCAATGTTTCAATGTCTCAATGTCTCAACGATTGAGAGGTAGATTTTTAATTTTAATCTATCCTCCATGCGAGGGAACCACTTGGTTGCTTGGGTGTTTCTTATCAGACCATTGTTCTATTTTCACTGCATAGTTTCCCACTTTTTGCCTGTCTTTTGTTACAAATTAATGAGACATGCTTCTTTGTCGTGCAACGGATGATCTGACTTGTTTTCCTTGTAAGGGCTTAGTTGGCAGAAATTATTCAGCATAGATTGCATGCTCCTGTTCCTTTGGGATTTCTTTAGAGAAGGTACAATTCAAGACTAGATTTTTGTTAAGGTTCTGTGTTTTGTAAGTCTTTTCTTTTTCTTTTTCTTTTGAGATGATATTCAGACTAGACTTTTATTAAGGTCTATGTTTTGCAAGTCTTATTTTTCTTATTCTATTGAGATGATATTCCATCTTTACTTCCTGTTTTATCATTTCCTTTCCTTTCTTTTTGCGTTCTTTCTGTTCAAGACAGAAGTTTGTATCGTTTAAACACGTTTGTATCTTGTTCCAAAAAAGAGTGTCCAACACGCACCCAACAAGTGTTGGAGTGTCCAACTCTGACATGTTGTCCAAGGTGAAGCGCTCATGCTTTGTAGATTAAAAATAAAAGAAGTTCGCTTCTAAATTTATAGTCAGTGATACAGATTATCAAGAAGGATTTCACAATCCAGGTTTGGGAAATTCCCAATATGCTAGTACACATCACAAGTTTTAGAACAGAATGGGTCAGCAAAAAACAATGACCGAGTTTCTGAAAGTGAGTATTAATTTAAAATAATAACAAATCAAAGCAACCAATTAGACTTGAATTATAAAGTTATCTGTAGTAAAAAGTAATACGTACTTTAAATCGTTACTACTTGGAGTGCTCCCCATTTCTCGTAAACACAGTCTCTTCCTTGAACGCATGCAACTGAAGACCTCCTTTGACCAACCGCATGTTCTTAAAACTGAGAAAGTTTCTCTCCTGAGACTGAATATAGATATAAAAGGTATCAGAGACCAGAAGTAACTTGATAAAAGTATAGTATAAAACAGAAAACTGCAGCAGGACCTCAGTAGCCTAAGAGTAGAAGATAACACAGATTCAAAGGGTGAGTTGGGCAAACCTTCAAATCTAAACACTTATAAGATTTTTTTCCATAGAGTTAGTTTTGATTAAAATCATTGGGTTTGTTTACATTTTCTTAAAGTGATTTTAATCCCAAGTTGTTTGATTGTACTACATCTAAGAGTGATTCAACCAATGTTTAATTACCATTAAATGACTCTAAAGTGATTATTAGTCCATCACTTTATAATCACTTTATAGATAATCATCTCTTAAGTGATTCTTCCAATTAGATTATTAAAAAAATGATTTTATTTGTTATCAAATACTAAATTTAAGAAAAAACACTTCTGACCCTTTAAAATCACTTAGAAAGTTAATCCAAACACACCCTAGTGAAAAGCCAAACAGAAGAGACAAAACAAAAACAGAAAAAGAACGACACATGAAATAGTAAATAATAAATAAAGCTAGCCAAAATGAGCTTAGTGTAGTTGGCATGCACTCTGAGGTTGGAGATTCAAATCCTCGTACTCAAATTTATTGTACTAAAAATAGTAAATAATGTTAAAGGAAATACACAATGGAAAAAAATTGCACTATATGTCATAATGAAACTAATATATATACAGAAAGGGGTTAGCCAACGCTGCACCACATATATAACATGTTTTAAGTGGTCGATAGTAGCAACTAAGTGAATCTAAACCTTAACAGATAAGATCAATAGTTTTTTTATTATGGAAACCCAACAACACATGGTTTCCTGTTTGGCGACCACATTGTGTGTATGGGTCAACAAGTCAAATCTAGTCAGGACAGAAGAAGATTCCCATTCATCTTAATCTACCAAAAATCATAAAATGAATCTATTAGCTATTGAAATCGATAGGTAAATATTTTAAAGGAAACTAACATACTCTTCTTTCAGTTCTCCAACTCTTTTTCGAGATAGAGCATCCTGTTGAAACAAGATACAGAGGTCTGATTTTCTTTTTGCCATTTTGATCTCAGAGGAGCAGTTGACTGCATTATCCACTTCATCATGACCAGACCCATTTCCTGCAGTGAACTTGTTATTCATAGGATTACCATTACACTGATCATATTTATCTTCTTTCATTGCCACACTCTCGCAATTACCATTACCATTCATTAACACAGATTTACGTTCCCTCTCAGTGACATCATCAGCAACTTCATTACTTTTCTTGCTATTTCCATTCCCAAGAGAAGATTTATGTCTCACACCATTTTCCAAATGCAACGAGTTTACATTTTCTTTCTCGTTCTCCTTGATGAATTGATCCTTCTCAAGAACTATCTTCCCATTAATGGTGGAAGGAGCTTGTACAGAATTAGAATGTCCATTCATATAAGATTTTCCTCGCTGACTGAAAGTTGGTTTTTCTACCTTAGATAGACTTGAAAGTTCTTTCCGAGAAGATTGCTCAACATGGGATTTTGTCTGTGCTGCTTTAGTTACCGCAGAAGGTTTTGAGATTTTGGATGCTTCAATGCCATTACCTTCATGACATTTTACACCATTTGAACCAAGAGCTGCATTCGCAGTTACTGGCCTTTGGTTTGTACGAGAGAAAAAGAGAATATACACCTTCTCTGACAAGACCTCCTGCAGAGTGGAAACTGTAACAAATGAGTCGTTGCAGCAATACCACCTACCCGATGCATCCTGCTAAAAATTACAGAAAACCTTGTGAGGATCTGATCTTGTTTTAGATTTAGTAGGCTTTATATGAATATGGTCCACATAGACCTTGATATATGCATAATAGTGCCCAGATTCGGCAGAAAGGCCTGAATGCACTATGGTACCAAAGAGCTTGTACTCTGGACGTGGATCCTGCAACATAATTTAATAAATGAATAAACATCACAAAAGAGAATTATAAAAAGCCTCCCCTAAAACAGAGATTACTAAATGGAAATTGCAACCTGTAGCATGGATGAAGCATGCAAAGAGAAATAAAGCAAGCATTTAAGGACATACAGCAAAAAAAAATTAAAGATATCACAGTAGAAGACAGATGTACAAAGATACATATGGTTTACATGCCAATCAAAGCTGTAAAAGACAGAAGTTATGGCCTTCTAGATTCAAACTCATTTCATTTATGTATATATATACATGTTTGATCTTTAAAAGGCTAAAGGCGCCCTCGAGGCTTTTCAGCTTAAAGGGGCAAAAGGGTGAGCCTTGAGACAGAATGAGGCATAGAACCCAGTTTTAATTAATAACATTATACAAATCCTAAATTTGTATGATCATGGCTAAACATAATAGTTATATAAAAGTATAAAAAGATCACCCTTGTCATTTGCCACTTGAAAAAAAGTTCTGAAAGGATATCTTTAACATGGATAAGATCAACTAATTCTTGAACTTTTTTCCTTAAATGTTTTTTAAGCCTAGTAGTATTTCTTCAAATTGTTACAAGTCGAACCTTTATATCTTTTCTATCCATAGGGCAAATTAATACTATTTTTCTAATCACTACACAAAGCTAGAGACTCTAAGCCTCTTATGGTCTAAAGAAAGCATAACTCGAGGCTAAGAGTTAGAGTCTTGTCTCGAGGTGAGGCTCAAGGCATAAGCCTCAAAATCCTTTTAAAACATTGTACGTTTTCAACTGACTAACAAGAACATTGAACCAAACTATGAGGATTCCTTCTTCCTCAAGCCATGGCTAATCAAGTCGTTCCTTATATTCGACCTCCGGTAATGTTGAGCATGAGTTAAAATTGCTTCCATATACTTTTTGTATTTCCTACACTCTAGTTTGTATTCTTAGAAACTTTGTTGGATAATGAGTTGTGTCAAAGTGTCAATTGACTCGATGTTTATATTTTTAGTGAAGTAATATTGGTTTTATTGCTAAAATTTATATGTTTTGGCTATTAAAAAGTATTAAACATATATTCTAAAAGAAAAGTATTTTAGTGAAGTAATATTGGTTTTATTGCTAAAATTTACATGTTTTGGCTATTAAAAAGTATTAAACATATTTATATAAACATATATTCTAAAAGAAAAGTATCGAGTGTCCTGCTTTTCTAAAAACTGACATATCATTGTGTTACATCATCTTCGTATCTATGTCCTCTGTTAATATCAGTATTTCTTAGTTACAAACATGCCAACACGTACAGTCCTATTTTGGATTACACTTGCCTTATTAATACCCCCACGGAACAGGATTCCATAAGAAAATGCCAACCTTTCCTTAAGTTTTTTGCTCCCAAATAATATTTGCGATATTGGTCACAAATACTGATCTTGAAATAGGCAAATGAGAAAATAATTATTTGCTACTAAATTTCTTCCCCAACACAGCAGACGCTGACACACTAAAAGGGTAGCAAGTTCCACACCCTTTTATCCCTTTGGTCCATTCCCTAAATTTCCTTACAATAGAGCCATAACGTCTTCAATAAACTGCTCCAAGAGATCTTTTGCAAAATTTGATTAGAATCAAATTTTAATTGACCATTTCTGAAATCTAAGTCCCACTCCTTGTTATTCATTCCAGCAATTTCATACAGCAAAATTTTTCAAATGATTCCTCAGTATAGACTAAATAGCACATAGGTTCTTTAAAGGCTAGATTGCTGTCTAAATGATAGTCCCAGAATCTTCAATCTTGTATAACTCTCATCTCCAATTTTTTTGGCCTCAACATAAAAAGAAATTTACGCAGAAGTTGACCTACTTAAAAGAAACAAGCAAAGACAATATGTTGTATTGCTCATGCAAAGACCAATTCCAAATAAAAGTACGATGATATTGCAAGAGTCATGGTGAAACCTTCGTTTTCATAGATTACTTTACAAGTGTATTGTTTCTTTCCCTGTATGCAACAAGTCTTTTCAAATCACTTCCCAATTAATAAATTGTTTTGTTACAGAACTAAGACATTCAACAAGTCTGTTAAATTTTAGGGTCCCTTATGGAGGACTTGATAGAAGAAATTAGACAATGATCCATGGTTTGATATAACCAATCACCCACAAGCAGATGGCCATAGTGAGGTCACTAATTGCATTTCAGGAAGGCTGACTTGGTGCATGAGGATCCGTACTGAGGATTCCCACACTTAAAAGTTGGGGTTAGAAGATATCTTTTTGACAGAGATCTTGAGGTGAGCTGCCTTCACGGATATATTGGACTTAATTTAACGAGGTCAAGCTCGTGATAAATTGTTTGGAATTTGGATCCAGGGGGTGGCTTCTCTGCTAAATCTACCTTCTTCCACTTGGCTAGCTCAAAGGCCAGACTAAAGTACCCAAGAAAATTTTGGTTTTAAAATGCCTAATAAAGTGAAATTCCTTCTTTGGTTTTATTCAACAGAAGTTTGAACACTGCCAACATTGCCGATAAACTACAACAGAAATTCCACCATTGGTTCATTTCCCCCTTAGTCTGCTGCTTGTGCAAAAAAATGAAGACACGCTCATATCACATTTCTCTCCATTTTCTGGTTGCTAGAATGAGCTGGGCTTATCTGCAGACTGCAGAAAGAGTTTGAGTCGGAATTCTGTCTCTCTGAGAAGGTGGACAGTCTCCCTGAATCCTTCGGAGGGGATTGTTTGAAAGACAAAGTTAGGGTGCTGTGGAGCTGGTATACACGCCTTTTTGGTTTTATGGAGGAAAAAAACAGCAGGATTTATGAAGATGAGGAAGTCGTTATGGGTACTACTGACACAATTTACAGCATACATCTTCATGGTGGTGCACCAATCACTGAACATTCTTTTGTAATTGCAGTTTGTTAGCCATTATCATCAATTGGAGAGTTGTTTAGAGGTTGTTTCTTATCAATATATATATAGCACAAGCAAAATTTTCAACTAATAACAAACAAGACAATCAGCTGCTTCGATTGATTCAGATGGGGAATCTGATGTTAGACACGCACCTGACTTCCTTTGCACATAAAATTTGAAAGTTGTAAACTCTCCTCATACGCAATGGCCTTGTCAATCTTACCACCAAATATGCCTTCAAATCTCTGCCAAACCCATCCAAGAACAACCCTTTACATGAAAGCAGCAACACTACGAACTGAACAAACAACAGTGAATTGAACAGGGGAAAGAAACAAGAAACCAAAGGTTAGGACAGAAAACCTTCAATTGGACGACAAGAGTATTCGGTGCTTGAAGTATAGACATCTGCTTCCTCGCCACCACCAACTTCTTACAACTACAAAGGAATATAATCTCCACAAATCAGACCCGAGCAAAAGAAAATTCCAAAACCAGAAGAGAAAGACGATATATATATATATATATATATATATATAGGACATAATAAAAGCTTACTTGTCACACTTGTACTTATTACTGCCATCTAAAACTTCCAGTTGAAAGAACTTCTGCAATGCCTCTTTAAGAGAACTACTATGCAAAACATCAAGACTAATATCCATTATCTCATCAACCTTATTGGAGTCGTTTCCACAAGATAAACACTTCACCTGGCTCTGCAAGGCACCCCCGAAAATCTCCTTCACCACCGTGGAGCTTCCACTCACACCTCCCCCAGTTCGACGCAGCTTCTTCAAGCGGAGGCAGGTGTTGTGGCAAGCGTCGATGACATAACGAAGGAACTCGTGGGCGTCCTCCTGGCGGCCCAAGCGAAAGTGCTCGGCGAAGATCCTGAGACAGTTCTGGATCTTGAGAGGCGAGTCCAAGGTGAGATCCAAGCTCAAAGACCTCACTATACGCCTTTCCAGAATACAAAACGGACATTCACGCTTTCGCTCCGCGTTGGAGGAAGCAGAATCGCCTGAAACGAAAAAAGAAAAACGAAGCGCACAAACACAGACACAGGACAATAATTAGGGCTGAAAACGGAATCAAATTGAAAGGAAAAAAACGAAGGAAAATACATACATAGAGAGGAGTGCTGGTTTCGAAGGCAGAAATTGGCGAGGGGAGGGGTGTAAGTGAGGCACTGAAGGACGCTGTTGAGGTAGCAGGTATTGCCTAGGTTTCTGAGACCGAGAGGGGGGCCATTTCGCCGCTTCTGACTCAGTAAACTCGGTTGCCAACTCATTTGCAATTGCAAGGCCATTAACGACCTTCTTCTTCCTGGCTAGGTTTGTGCAGAGCATTAGAAGCCGCCGGACCTCTACTCCCCGAGTGTCGCCGCCGGCACCAACACCAACGAAATCGCATAGCTTTTTTCCTCTTTTCCCTCCCTTTGTTTCTTCTACCGCCTTTTCCCCCCTTTCCCTCCAACCCAAATAAAAGAGGACAAATCGTTGAAATTAGTTCGTCTGACCTTACGCGGTTTATTTTATTTTATTTATTATTTTTTTTTTTTAACAATCATTTTACTCCTCTTTAAAAATTATATCTATAATATTGCAAAAATAAAAAATTAAAAAAATTATATTTTATTTATTTACATAAATTTAAACTTTTAATCATCTAGCACATATTTAGCTTGTTTTGGAGTTAAAAGAAGAAATTACATTTTTAGTTTATATAAACGTGGAGCTAAGAGATTTAATATTGAGCTAACTTCACGTTATCAAATAAAATTAAAATTACTACTAACCATATTGTATTATATAGCTCTCGATGATTATACATCAATGATTGGCAGATATTATCATACCACATGGCATTATATTCCAACATCCTACAGAAATACATTCACAAAAGGAAAATAAAATATTTATCCACAAAAGTGAACTCAAATTCATTTATGCACTGCTTTGCCTAGTGCTACGCCCTCAAATTCAGCAGACACCATTCATCTCTTCTGGCAAATTGTCATGCCATCGCCAATGGGTACCTAAATAAACCAAGTTTAGTACCATCGTCATAGTTCAAGGAGGCTAGCAGAGGGAAGATAAGATCAAATGCTCACTATACTAATCCCGACTCGATCGTCTTCCATTATCTTTTTATTCAATCTCCTAATGCTATCAGTCTGCTTGTCATTTACCTGCTCAAAGACCATGATCATCAGTAAACTACACTAAAATGGAGACAATGTCACGAGATGTCGAAGCTAACGCACCGTTGGGTCAGCTACTTTTCCATACCAAAGGACATTATCAATCACAATTATACCTCCAACTCTCACCTGAATGAAGGCGATGAAGAACTTACTTAAACATCATGGACTGAAAAGATAGGCTATCAGATAAAACCATTAGACAGACATAAACAGATTTTTTGGCAGAAGCTAATCATTTTTCGTCTCACCAGTTGCAGTAGCAGTTCGAAGTACTCCTCGTTCATCCTCTTCTCGGCATCGATGAACGCAAAATCATAACTATACGTGCACAGAAATATGTTATCTACTCAATTCTTTGTAAAAAGGCCATCGGAGGAAGTAAAATCACAGAAGTTTAAAGCTCGCCCTTTTAACTCTGATATCATATTAAATCGCCAAGAATGTAAAAGAAAGAACATAATGGGATAGTTATAACAAAATCTAATAGAAGCATTATAAGATCATTCCATCAACTAACGAAACAAGTTTTTGAATCAAAACATGATATAACATAAAACACTTCACCTGCCAGCTTCACCATTTGCAATAAGTGATTTGAGTGTATCTGCTGCAAGCCCATGTCTCACATCCACCTACTTCCAGAAATTGTCCAAAACCATGTTTTGATCATCAGAAACATGTTATAGCTTAAAATTATGAACATAAATACAGGAAATTGATCGATCTTTGTATACCCACAAGAGGGTATACTGTATGGCTGGTCTAAAATTTGAGGAATCTGATTAAATGAATGGCCTTTCTCAAATCTCCCGGTTAATTAATTGGAGCATCAGCCCAAGCCCACCACTAGCCGATATTGTCTTCCTTCGGTTTTCCCTTTCGGGCTTCCCCTCAAGGTTTTTAAAATGCGTCTGTTAGGGAGAGGTCTCCACACCCTCAAGGTCTTCCTTGGGTTTTCCCTTCTAGGCTTCTTTTCAAGGTTTTTAAAATGCATCTGTTAGGGAGAGGTTGTCACACCCTAATAAAAAATGTTTTATTTCCCTTCCCAATCGACGTGGGATCTCACAATCCATCCCCCTCATGGTTCAGCATCCTCGTTGGCACATCACTCGGTGTCTACTCCCTTTCGGGGCTTAGCGTCCTCGCTGGTGCACTACCCAGTGTCTGGCTCTAATATCATTTGTAACAGCACAAGCCTACCGTTAGCAGATATTGTCCTCTTTGGGCTTTCCCCTCAAGGTTTTTAAAACGCATATGATAGGGAGAGATTTCCACACCCTTATAAAGAATGTTTCGTTTGTTCCCCTCTCAATCACGTGGTATCTCACAATATCAGTTTTAGTTATACAATGCCGTCAGTAAAAAGGAAATATACTAGCTGGAGCTAACCAAAAATTTGGCTTCAAACAGTTTACAGCTCAAATAGAATACATTGGTTGCAAAATCATGTAGGAGCTATTACAATATGAAAGTTGCAGATTATGAGCAGAAAAATAGGAAGATAGTATTTCTCAAAAGATTCATGTCACTGTTCATAATCATTTGATAAAAGAAGAACCAGAGAACATCAAATGAAGAAGTACTTACCTTGTGAGAAACACCGGCAAGTTCATAATATTTTCTAGCAACATCGAGATATATAGCATCCCTTTCACAGGCAACTAAGCGCCCTGATTCTGGAAGGACTAACGCTACGGCCAGAGATGAATATCCCTAAATGAGAATAGAAAACAATGGTTAGCCCTAAAGTTATAGCACTCTTCAAAACAAAACCTTGTTATTAAGCAGTAAGAATGGGACGAAGGGGCTTACAGTGTAAACACCCACTTCGATGCACCGCTTTGCACCGAGAATTTGAACAAGCATTGCAAGAAGTTGTGCTTGATCAGGCGATACCTAGAACACCAGTTCATCCATTCAATCGTACATTTGAAAACGGTAAATGAACGAAAATGTTACCTGCATTTTGCTACCACGCAATGAGGCGGTCTCCTCACGAAGTTGCCCCAAGATCTAAATCAACGAATTCAATTACAATAGGACAGATCATAAAGTACTTAACATATAGATGAGCAACAACATTGTACCTCAGGCTCTCGAACATTGGAGAGGATATACTCATAAAGCCGTGAGTCAACACTAATGAACTCTTTATTGCTAAATTTCCCATTTGAATTGGCGGAACAAACCCTTTCCAGCTGCCTCTTCTTGCTGCTGGAATCATCCAAGTTCAAATGACAACGAACACGCCTGCAAGCCATAGCCCTTTTGATAGTTCCGAAGCTGGCAATTGCAGCCACTGAGGGCATAGATGAGAGCTTCATAAGCAGATTCCTTTGTGGGTATGACAAAAAACGCAGCCCCATATTGCTGCTTGACATCATCAAAGAACGATATGCACTGCAGGGTGGAGCAGAAAGCGATGAAGAAAAGTAGGAAACAGAAAACCCAATAGTATACTAACTTTATAGCTCGACAAATTAGATACTCTGTTGGGAATTTCTACAAACAGCTGGTGGGCATGCGGGGATGACGCGAAGCCATGCGAGAGAATGTTAAAGCTTTGCAGATTAAACGAAGAGGGAAGACATCAAAGCCCAGAAAGAAAATGTACCTGTTGAGAAGAAACCAGTTGAAGACTCGCACTGAACTGCGGCCCGGTGGGAAGAAGGCACGCAGCTACAGATATAGCCACTAGAGGTTCACACGGCGTCGTTTGATTAAACTTTGCAAGTCATTAGATTCATCGCCATTACTCTCCTTATCTGTTCCAGCTCCGGTAAGATTCGGAGCTCGTTTGTTGCATCCTGCTCTGATTCTGATCTACATAAAAACGAAAAATCACAAGGTTTCCCTCAATCAACCCATTAGAGTAACATGAGTCCTCCGATAGTAAATATTATTGCATCTTCTCGTTGGCACATCACTCGATATTTAGATTAGGTACCATTTGTAACGATTTTAGCCAACGATAGTAAATATTGTTTCTCTAGACTTTCCCTTTTAAACTTTCTCTCAATATTTTTAAAACTAGTATGTTAGGAAGAGATTTCTACGCTATATAAGAATGTTTCGTTCTCCTCTCCACCCGATATGGGATCTGACACAAAATTCCTTTATGTCAAACACCAACTCGTTCGTAATATCTTCTTGCAATCTCAAGAACTTCGACATCATATTGACACACAACTAATCGTCCTGGTTTGGGGAGGAGGTTAGAGTGAACATCAGAACGAGAAAATTCAAAAGGAAAAGCCTCCATCTATATAGATAGTAAGAACCCATCAAAATTCAAAAAAGTTAAGATTTAGCCACTAAACAAAAAAACACACTTTATTAGTATAAATAAAAAATTTATTTTAGCTGTCATATCTTTAAAATCGATTTCGAATTCATTCATGTACTATTCCTTTACTTTCAGGTGTCACAGTCAAGACACTAAAAATTAAAAACAAAGATAGACCCAACATGGACTTTTACAAATTATAAAATTGATAAGATTTCCCTTTGTCTTTTTTTAAGTCAGGCTGACTAACGAAAAATTAGGTTATATGAATTTATTTTGATGTGGTATTTGAATTTGCATGCTAAAAGCAAACACATTATTTTTAAATGCTATTTATTTTTGTCACGTTTCATATGTTTCAAGATTTTACACTTAATTAAAGTGGACTTCCCTATTTTATTCTTATTTGTTTTTTTAATTAAAAAAAAAATATATATCTTATTGTTTTTATTTTTTTTAATTCATCCAATGAGATCCACCCAAGTGTTCCTAAAATAATTATAGTTTATTTGCAATTTTAAGAAAGCAAATTTTGATTGAAATTTTTGTGGGCCAATTTTTCAATTCTTTTTCGGCAATTACAAAAGAAGGAAGAATAAAATATGGTATATTCCTCATCATAATTTATTTTTTTAAATAAAAATAAATAAATTCAATAATTCATCCAAATGATCCCCACACCCTTTGTCCTTTTTATATATCACATGCTAATTCTTACCCTATTAATATTGTTGCTAAATTTAGTTTTATATTATAATGCTAAATTATATATTATTAATATGTGTTTTAAATAATTTCCATTATCTTAAGACTGCTTTTTGGATAGACATTAAATTAAAAAAAAAAAAAAAAAAATTATGATGTTTGGTCATGTTTTCAAAACCCCAAATTATTCCCCAACTTATTATGATAATAATAATATTATTTAGTAAATTTTTAAAAATTTTAATCAATTATTTCTTTAATATGAACGCTAGATAAAGATGGTTCGTAGTTCGATTCTTCCGTTTCAAATATAGTTGAACTACTTCAACTACCCACCAACAATTTAATTTATAGATAGTGTTGTCGCTTCATGATAAATTGGAAAATAATTTAGTCTTTTAATTCATTATAAAGTTAACTAATTAATAAACAAAAAATAATATAACCAATCTCAACTCTCTCTCTCTAATCAATCTCAACTGTCAGTTGATAAAAACAAATTAAAATTAAAAAATAAAATAAAATAATGGGCATCAGATTTTGCCAACTACCTTCCACTCTTGGTAAGTGGAGCTTCCAGGTGTTCTATTTTGGGAGGATAAATATATAAAAGTTTATAAAATAAATAAATAAATAAAAAGCACTTTTTTATTTCCTTTTCAAATGATAATTATTACTAAAACTTTTTGTTATTAATTATTATTATTATTTTGGGTATTTTAGTTAGGTTTCTCTATCTACAAGTGTCTGTTATTCGACTAATGTTTTATTTTTTTATGTTTCTTTTGTGGGACATGTTTGGTTGTTGTTCGTATTCTTAAATTATTGACCTAAAGTTTTATAAATCACGTTTGTGTCAACATAAATATAGCTCAATGGTTATGACATTTATTTATTCAACTTCTTGATGTCAAATGTTCTTAAATCTTTCTCAACGCATTGTATTTTTACTTCTCTTGGTTAAATAATGTGAAAAGAAACGAAACATATATATTTTAGGTTAAATTTAATCTATAAAAATCCAATGAATAGTTATGTTGTAGAAAGGTAAAGAGTGCACTAGAAGAATTAATTGGATCCATACCCATTTTGTTCTTAAAATATATTTACATTCTTCATTTGTCATGATTTTGGAACATTCGAGGGAGTTGGGTGGGTTTTTATTTTTTCATTCAATTATTATTTTCTTTATCGATCACGAGGCTGTATATGATGATAAAAAGCGAAATTGTTAAATGCCACGTGGCTATACAAACATTCAATATAGACGAGGGTATCTGTGATGGGAAGCAGAGGAAAATTCAGTGCATCCGGTAATAACTCAAACTCATAGATATTAATACAAAAAAATGGTCAGAGTGATATTTAAAAATTGGGTTAAAAGCAAAACCATTTGGAAGCGCACGTTTAGGGAAGATGGGTATCGAAATCATAAAATCGAACATTTTTGGGTATGGATATTTGAAAAGAAAAGATTCCGAAAACACTTAAAAATCTATTCTTTTTGGTAATAATGTTTAAAAGGAAGAATCTTGATTGTGTGGTAGGCATGGGTTGGGCAATGAAGAAGAACAGTGGTTCCATGTGTGAAGTTTGGACAGGTCAAATTAGTTTATTATTCATCTAATACAACTTTGACATCTGTCATAAGCTGATGTGGACTTCAACACATTTTTTACAAAAAGATTGAAATTGAGACCCCCAAACACATTCTTACCTCTCTTAATGGATTAATGTCGCTTTGATATTTTTTATAAAAAAAAGGAGTGAGAGTGACCTAAATATCTAATATTTTTACCCATATTTAATAAATTAATATTTCTTTAATTTTTTAAATAATTGATCTCGTCTTAGACATGGATAATTTACGAAACTTCACCAAAATTTCGTCTAAAAAAAAATGTTGGATCTTTCCCGTTTTGTTTTGTAGTTGGAAGTATTGAAAATGAAAGCTAAATATTCTTTCTAACGAGATGGAAGCATCCATTTTAGAGGATAGACAAAGAAGTCCTTTCACATAAACCAAACCAGGTGTCGACTAGTAAGTGGATACGATATGAGATTTAATCCAAATACACTTTTCCCACAGACCTCCAAAGCTCGAATTAGTGTTGAGTAATGTCGAGTTGGGTAGGGTTATAGAGATTAGTTCTCTTGCGACTTCCGTTACTCACTTGAATTGCTTCCAAAAGTGAAGGTCATTTCTACCGACCAACACAAGTTCTTTCTATCTGTCCTTGTTTCAAAGGATAGCTGATGTCATCTAGGTCATGTCAGCTAGAGTCTCATCGACCCCATGTCGGTTGTCTAGATCAATCAACCTACTCTTGAGTACATGAAATCAACTTGTGTTCTTTTCTCTCGTTCAACCCCACGAGACACTGTAGCTTAATGGAAATGAATTTAGGGTTTTGGTTTATATGTTTGTACTCTTGTAGGAGATATTAAGAAACAATTGAATTTTTAGTCCAATTTGAAGATATAATTTTATAAACTTAATTTTTTAGAAAAAAAATAAATAATTATGAGCTCGTGAACTAATACATATATATATAAGAAACAATTGCATATATATATATATATATATATATATATTCGTGTATTAAAAAAATACAACAACTAAGTACGTAAAATCAAAATGTATTTAACATTTTATCACTTTTCCAAACATACAAATACATGAAATTTCACGCAGACATGATGCAACATAACAGATTTTCATGCATAACAACATCATCATACCATGCATGATATGCATACATTTATTTGATTAATATTTTCAAAAAACCACGGTCATTTTAAAAAAAATATATTTATATTAGAAATAAAATAATATTTGATTTAAAAAGGTAATATCATTAAAATAAGAATGAAATTGAGAGAGAAGAAACATTTTACATATTTTGTATTGATTAAAATATAAAAAATAAATATTTAATTTGTAAAAATCAATAATTGACAAAAGAGTGAAAGAATAAAACAGAAACCAGCTGAGCTTCATTGCTACCCTAAACCCAAAAGCTTCAAGCTTGGTTTCTCAAAACCCCTCACTTTTCATCCTACTTACATTACCACCCCAACAAACTTCTTAATTATACTTTACACCCCACAACTTCTAGTTTTTCATTTCTCAACTAGCTGTAAAAATGAAACAGAGAAAAACAGAGGAGATTCCGGGGACGTAAAACCACATGCATCCCTCAGGTAAAAACTCCCAATTTTTTTCCTTTTCTTTTTACCCTGTGTTGTTATAATTTACCTCGCCTTTTTTGTTTTTTTTACCGTTTCTGCTTCTGCAGATCCTTGGAGCTTATGAAAGTTCCATGGAAGCCGTAAGGAACTCGAGAAGGAAGCTTTACAGTAGCTTCAAGCTCCAAAGTCATGGCGTTTACGATCTGCAACTCTGATTTCCATTCCTTCTCGTCGTGAACGAAGGCTAAGATGTGCCCATCGTCCTCCGCCGTTGCCCCTTCTCTGGGAAGAAACAGAGGCTCGCCGCCGTACCTGTCCTCGCCGTAGAGATACTTTCTGATTTCTCCGGTGGAGAGATCGACCTTCGCGAATCCAGAAACCTTTGGCCATGGTTCAGCCAGAGCAAGATAAGCGAACTGGGTTTTTCGCCCTAATTGATTTCGGTTCACCATTCCGGCTTCCAAGTTCACTTGCTCTGTTTCAGCGATGATCGGCCGACGAGTCGATTTCCCGGTGGAGAGATTCAGGCGAATTTCCGACAAGACGGATTTCAAATTCTCTTCACATTCGTTGAAAATGGAGTCTGGCGGCGTCATGCACGATCCAATTACGACGATTTCGTTAGTCTCAGGTTCTTCCCAAGCGTTCCAGAGATGGAAACAGAAGCAATCAGGAGCTTCAATCCATTTGATGGCG